CAGAGCCCGATGCGGGGCTCAAATCCACAAACCGTGAGATCATGACCTGAGCCAAAGTTGGATGCCCAACTGACTGAGCCACCCAGGCACCCCTATTTTTTTTTTTTTAAGAGAGAGAGAGAGAGCGAGCGAGCACAAGTGGGGGAGAGGGGCAGAGGGAGAGAGAGAGGATCTTAAGCATGTTCTGCACTCAGAGCAGAGTCTGACACGGGGCTCAATCCCACGACCCTGGGATCATGACCTGAGCTGAAATGGAGTCGGGTGCTCAATCGACTGAGCCACTCAGGTGCCCCCGGAGTATTTTAAATGGAGCGGTATTTTAAATGGAGTGTTTCAGGGAGACTAGTTTGTCATGAGGAAACAAATATCAGACCTCATGCAACAGTGTGGTCACATGTCCATTAGACTTTGAAGGTGCATCTTGGTTTAGCAGGTGTATAGGATATTAGGGATTTGAGCCTTAAAGGAAGGGGAGGGTTTAGGTGTGTGGGAGAAGGTCATACAATAAGATGAATATAAAGAAATTCAGGAGGAAACATAAAGTGGACTCCTTGAATGTTAGAACCAGAAGGGACCTTTGAAGCCACTAGAGACTGTATGCGGTGGTTTGGCCAAGTGATCAGTCTTTGGAGTCTGATAAACCCAGGTTTGATCTTCACCAAGATTCTTAACATCTCTGGATCTTAATTTTAATTTCCTCATCTATAAAATGGGAGCAGTGATGGGTTTTCCTCATAGGACCGTTGGGGGGACCAAATTCAATAATGCATGTGACAGGCTTGGCCATGTCCTGGCATGTAGCCATACAGAAACTGAATGATAGTTACTTATTATCCTATTTCCTTGATTCTAGGGCCAACTTCTCTTTCTTTTGCCACATTTTACAATTTTGGAATTAGAACAGGCTTTTACCTTCATTTCCTGTAGTGCTTGTTTTTCTTCCCAGGTTGTTTAGAATGTGGGAAACAGAATATTTTATAGACCAGGAATTGGGGCCAACATGCTGTATTGCAGAATCCACCCTCCAAGTTGATTTGGTCATCCTAGGAATCCTCTCTCTTGTTGATCCTAGAGAGAAGAAGGAAGGGGAAAAAAACCCCATCTTAACTTGGGATGGGGATATATACCGTGACATGCTGTAGCAAGCTGGTACCTCCCAGGAAAGAGAGAATCATGTAGAACTATAGATGTCCCCCGCCCAGTGAATGACACCCACCGGGTAGGATGCGGTAGGATCTGGAAACATTTAGTGTCTGCTCCTGGCTGTGCCAATTGTGCCCAAGTCAGGGAACCTCTGCCCCCTCCTCTCAGTGGGGCCCACGACCCCAAGCTGCCCGAGTCACGGGCTGTCTGACCTGTGCTGAGATTCAGGTGAGTGAACACCTGAGCAGATGCTGCCACCACGGGAGCACCCAGCGACTGGGAGCTGCCAGTTATTGTCCCCCAAGGCACGCCTCTCCCCTCCTGCCAGCTTGCCTCAGTTTTGCTTGGGATCGCTTTCTCATTCATCCCCTCCGCTCTAGAAATCCTGTGCACTCTTCAGAGTCCATCTTAAATGTCATCTCCTAGTCCAAACCTTTTGTCACCCTTCCCCCCCCCCCCCCCCGTCACACCCTCATTCTCTGTGAGTATTGCTCAACTTTGGATCTCTGTTGTCTCTTAAGGAGATTTTCCAAATTCTGCCTTATATGACTACTTTTCCTACGCGGTGTGATGTAGCCTGGAAGACTGCTAACCTTCGAGGGCAAGAGTGTGTCTTAGTTTTGCAAACCCTGTATGTACTTCTGGCACAGAACAGCATCGCAACGAGTATGAAATGACATTTAAGCACACACTTGCGGAATATCTACTGTGTGTCAGACAATATAGCAACCAGCGGAACAGATGTACTCTGTGCCCTCATGGAGCCTGCTTCCCTTGGCTCTCACTCATGCCCTGAAATGATGCTGGCCAAGCAGAGAGGTGCCCCTGTGCTCAGGTTAGTTTAGCTTTCATGACCTCGCTGATTGCTGTGTGAGACCACGGACAGTGGCCTTCTGATGGCGCTGTGTGAGAGCTGGGCTTGGGGAGGTCGGTCTGGCCCCAGCGTCGGCGTCCAGGCACGCATGGGAGGGAGGTGCCCCGGAGTGTGTGTATGTGCAGGAGGAAGGGATAAGGACGGGAGATTGGAGAGGTGGTTGGGGAAGCACGTGGGTCAGACCTCGCAGCAGGTGGAAGAGGCTGTAGCCCCAGACCCAGGGCCCCACTTACTAGCTCTGAGCCCAGATTTCGCTGCCCCTTCTGTTCAGGCTCAAAACTGCCCTGCATGGGGCAGGAGGGGAGCCTCGGTTTGCTTGAGCTGGGGCTGTCCCGCAGAGCCTGGGGTCAGTGCTAATTGGGCCCTGGGGCACCTGTAAACCCATAGTGATGACCGCTTGGGCCTCTGACCTCATGCCAGAGCTGGCTGCGTTTTCCGCTTTCCCTCGGAGAAGGTGGAGGACGCTGGAAAAACCAGTTAGGGTATGTGAGGCTCCATTTTATGTTGCTGTTAAGGGAGTGTTGGCTCCAGAGCCCGGAAACGTATATTAAAAATCTGGCTCTTTCAGAAAGCTAGAAGCATTGGGTGGCTCAGCAAGTGGCATCTCCCGGACTGGTAAGTGGGCAGGACAAGAGTTTGGGGCTTGCGCCTCCCCCCTCTGATGCGAAGGGCACATCGTCCTGAGTGGTAACTGGGGCTTAGTGCATCACTGTGTCCCTTGGTCCTGTCCCAGAGGCTGGTAAAATATCAAGTGGGCATTTCTGTGCTTGGCCGGCCTCGTTTCCAGGCCTGGTGGGAGCCGTGGGAAGGAGCTCCGTGGCACACAGCCCTGTGTCCGTCCTGCTCACTTCCGAGTCCCTGCGATTCACATGGTGTCGGGCAGTACTTGTTGTAGGCGAATATTTGGAAGCAATGATTTAATCTCATGTCCTTCGCCCATTCTGTTGTTCGTTGCAGGGAGGATGAACAACTTTGTGGCTGCTTTAACAAATTACTACAAACATGTTGGCTTAAAACAAAACAACAGAAGTTTATTCTCCCAGAGTTCTGGTGGCTGGAGGTGGGGAATCTGATGGGGCCGTGCTCCTTCCGGGGGCCTTAGGGGACAAGCCAGTCTTTGCACCTTCCGGCTGCCGGGGGCTCCAGGTGTTCCTAGGTCTCCAGTCTCTGCTGCCTCTGCGGTCATATTGTCTCCTCTCTGTCTCCCCCGTGTGTCTCTTATAAGGACACTTGTAATTAGATTTAGGGACCTCCGGATGATCTAGGCGTATCTCTTCATCTCAGTATCCTTAATTTAATTGCATCTGCAAAGACTCTTTTTCCAAATACAAGACAACATTCACAGGTTGTGGAGATGAGGGTATGGACAGGCCTTTGCTGGGAGGTGGCAGCATTCAACCCACCCCCAGGGCTCTTAGGGTTTTTCAAATCATGGCCGTTTTAGCTATTTTAAAGCTGCTAGCCGCTGGGTTTGTGCTGTTTGCAGTCAAGTTTCGTGTGTGTGTGTGTGTGTGTGTGTGTGTGTGTGTGTGTGTGTATAAAGAGAGGGAGAGAGGGAGAGGTGGGTTTTAATATAGGTAGATTTCCATTTTCCCCAGTTTTAGTTTCAGAAAGTCCTTCCCTATTGAGTGTTAGCTAAGTATGATTTATGTTCACATAAAACCTTAAGAAATTGGGGGCTCCTGGGTGGCTCCGTCCGTTGAGTGAGCGCCTAACTCTTGATTTTGGCTCAGGTCATGATCTTGCGGTTGTGGGATTGAGCCTCTCTGTTCTGAGCGTGCAGCCTGCTTAAGATTCTCTCCCTCTCTCCCCATTCGTACTCTCTCTAAAAAAAGTAAAATAAAAACCAACCTTAAGAAATTTACTGTTTAGTCCAGTGGTAACTTCTTTTGATATTTGCTGTGAGGTGAATACCTATAAAACCCAGAGAAATCCGAGTCAGGTCTGTAGTTTGGTGAATTGCATGTGCGTGGTCAGTTTCCTGGTTTTGCTAATGAACCGTTTTTACCTGGATGCCGCCACTGGGGAAAATGGGGGACAGGCACTCAGGATCTTTCTGTTCTACATTTGTAACTTCTTGTGGGTCTATCCTTATCTTAAAAAAAAAAAAAAAAATCAAACCGCCAATCGGATTTACCAATTCCAATCATCAAATCATTTATTCTCTGTTAATTTGTAAAACATCCTTTATTAGTTGTGAAATATATTAGGGTGTTTTAGAGTTGTGGTTACGCTTATTTACTTTGGGAAGAATTGACATCATTTGATACATGGTCTTCCTGTCAACGAATATGGCATGTCCTATTTATTCAGACTGTATATTATTTCCTAATAAAACGTGTATAGTTTCTTTCAGGTTGTTCGTAGATGCGATTCATAGATGCAAGTTCTCTCTGCTACTGTGGATGAGTCTTTTCTCCACGTATGTTCTTTAACCAGCTTGTGCTGGTTGGAATCCCCACACCCTTTAAATACATGAAATTCTTTTAACTTGGGAAAATGCTTTTCATTCTGCAATTAAAGACAATGTTTAACAGGCTTTTACTCGTTCCTTTAACCTGCTCTCGGGAACGGTATGGTCAGTTATTTACTGTAATGTGGATTTGGGTGAGTGGTTATGTTCTCCATCCAAGTGAATTGGAGGGGGGGGCGTCCTTTATGAAGAAATGTTAAGTTCCGTAAATTTAATGTTAACTCCATTTTGTTGAATTCTGTTTCTTTGAAAATTGTGGAAGTGCTGTGTCTTGGGGTACACATGGTGTGCTACTTGGGGTGCCCTAGGTGCAACCAGGCTGAGTGGACAAGCTGGGGTGTGCAGTCCAGAGAGTCCATCTAAGTTGGCCACGGACTGACGCCTCTGCTTTGTCGCCTGGGGCCATAAGGCCTGTGTGGCCACTCAGGAGGTCAAGAAGGCCTCTATCTGGGTGAACCCCAGATTTGAAAGCACTCAGAAATGGAAAATGTATTGTTAACCCCCCTCTAGGTCAGTCTTATGAAATCAGGCTGCTGGAGAATCGGAAGCTGGGAGACTTTCAAGATCTGAACACGAAATATGTCAAGGCAAGGCTGTGGGGCCGCCCTCCCTCCCCAGGGGTTGGTTGGGGTCTGGGAACCTGGGCTTGCCGAGGATGGGGCTCAGGAGTGGCCGGGAGGTTTGGGGAAAGCTCCGGAGTGGGAATGGGTTCCTGTTCCCTGGAGCGTGTTGTCTCAGGGGCCAGGGGCAAGCCGGTGGCAGTGAGGACCAGAGGGGCCTGGGCTGATCGAACGGGCTCTGGGTTGGGCAGACTCAGGTTGGAGCCAGGCTTTGCCACTTACTGAACTTCCCTGAGCTGTCGTTAGCTCATCTGCACAAAAAGGTATATATGCACGTGAAGCACTTAGTAATCCTGGGAAAAGGGGTCGCCATCATTTTCACTGTGTTATTGGGGTTCTGAGCGGGGAGAAGCACGCAGAGCTTGCGAGCAGGGAAGGGAGGCTCCAGCAGCAGGAGGGGCCTTGGTCTTGAAGGGTAGGAGGTTTGCCCTGGTAGGTGCTTCCTCTTGGGTCCTTGTTGGCCTCACACCTTGCTGTTCCCTCCCTCCTCCCCTCCTCCAGAGCATTATCCGAGTGGTTTTCCACGACCGCCGGCTGCAGTACACGGAGCACCAGCAGCTGGAAGGATGGCGGTGGAGCAGGCCCGGGGACCGGATCCTGGACATCGGTGAGTCCCTTGGGCTAGGAGGGGCCCAAGGCACTCCAGGCACATTGGGGTTCTTCCTGGATGCTATCGGACTCATGCCTGTGGGGGACACTTTAGTGCACTATTGCCTTGGGCAGAATGCTGTGGGAGCTGGCACAGGTGACCGTGTCCTCAGGCCTGCCCTCGGGGACTTCCCTTTCAGTGGCATGAGAAGGCCTGTTGTCGGGGATTGCCCGGAGGCTTTGCAGAGGGTCCTGCCTTAAAGGATTGTGATCTGTGATGGAGGGAAGCTTGGGCATCACGGAGACGGGCAGCAGAAACTGAATTTTGGAGTCTTAGGCATGGATCCCGGGGTCTTTTATCTATAACCCTGACAGCCATTTGGGTTTTGGAATTTAGAACTTAGAATGACACCAGGGTGCGTAGACCCCCAAGCTGCACGGAATGCCTCCAACAGGCAATCAAGCACACTGATATTTCTGCAGCAGAATAGAATGACTGGTCACACGAAATGGGACAAAGACTCTAAATAGCTTCGTGGCACTTCAAGTCGGGCTTTCTGCCAAATGGGTCACGCAAAACGTACTTTTCAGAACTTTTGGCATTTCAAATGGTGGTTAGGGCATTTGGACCTGTAATGAGAGTCCTTCCCTAAATACTTGGGAGTGGCTGACACTTGCACTTTTGTGTATGTGTATGTGTGTGCAGATATTCCACTGTCTGTTGGTATCTTGGACCCCAGGGCCAGCCCGACCCAGCTGAACGCTGTCGAGTTTCTGTGGGAGCCTTCGAAGAGAGCCTCTGCATTCATTCAGGTAGGCGGGGGAGCAGTTGTCCTCTGGGGAAGCCAGGAGTCTCGGGGCCCACGTGTAGTTCCTCAGAACAGTCCACCTGCAGGGCCCTGCTGGGCTCGTTCTCTTTTGCAGGGACATACCCCGAAGGGGAGGGGGTGCAAGAGTGTTGCCCGTGCACAGAGCTAGCTGGTCCCTGGGGCTGGGAAAGGACTTGGCATGTTGTAGAATCCTGGGTGGGGTTTGCTTATCAATATATAAGCTTGCTACAAAATAAGCATGTCTTGGCGTACAGAATATGAAATAAGATTTTTTTTCCATGATAGTTTCTAAGATTAAATTATTTAGTGGTCAAGCACCTGGTATGCATTCAAGGGCATGGCAGGGCCGCTGTGCTTCTAGGCTGGCACAGGCTGTCTCACTCACTATATGTCCCTTTCTGAGCCTCTTTGTTCTTCCACCTGTCTTACAAATCGGACAGTGAGCATAAAGTCATTACTGCAGTACCTGGTCCATAGTAATTGCTCAGTAAAAGTTGTGACTTTTTTTTAAAACATAATTACAATATTCTTACTTTATTTAATTTATTTTTTTAAAGTTTTTTTTATTTGGAGAGAGAGAGAGAGTGTGCATGCATGCAGCAGAAGGGCAGAGAGAGGGAGAAAGGGGGGCTCAATCCCATGAACCATGAGATCATGACCTGAGCCGAAACCCAGTTGGTTGCTTAACTGACTGAGCCACCCAGGCACCCCTCTTACTGTATTTTAAAGTCACTATCACAATAGTGTTGTATTGCCACAGTAATACATTATTACAGTATTATAGTGTTAAAATAATAAATATACATTGAGTGTGGTAGGTACTTAGCAGAAACACAGAGGTGGTTCCAGCCCCCTGGTCATGCTTCTGGCCTGGCCCCAGGAACCTGGACACCAGGGCCACTGGGGGCTTAGCTGTGGTTCCACCTGCTCTGCAGTCTGTGGGGTCTGCCTGGGGAGAGAAGTGAGGGTGGGGCTACTGGGGCCCATGGGCCTGAGCAATGGCAAGGACTTCGCTGGTCAGGCAGGGCCCCCGAGGTCAAGGGACAAAGGTGGGAGGGCATGTCCTTTATAAAGCGGGACGGAGGGCCATTGGCCTGGGGAGAGCGGGGAGGCTGACACAGATCTGCACCTGACTAGGCAGGATGGAAACCTTCACTTGGCCAGGGGCACTTGCGGAGCCCAGGGCCGGTCCCTCTTCTTGCTTCTTGCCCACGTTTCCCCTTCCAGGTGCACTGTATCAGCACAGAATTCACCCCGAGGAAGCACGGGGGTGAGAAGGGGGTGCCTTTCCGAGTGCAGATTGACACATTTAAGCAGAACGACAATGGGGAATACACAGAGCACTTGCACTCGGCCAGCTGCCAGATCAAGGTGTTCAAGGTAGGACATCCTTGCCACGTTCCGCCCGGGGTCACACGTGCCCACGGGTCCCTGCCTGCGCTGGACAGTGACACCAGCACGTTGACCTGTGCAGTCCCCCTGGAGGCCCAGCAGGGGGCTCGGCGTCCCTGTAGCCCGGGGCTCCCTCCTGGATTCCTGAAGAGCACGAGCAGTATGTCTTGGGGTGACGGGCCTGGCCGCTGTGGGCGTCCTTCTGCGTGTGGCACCTTCTGTCTCCTGTCACCACAGATGGCTGTGCCCAGCTCTACTTTGTAAGCATGTCTGGACTTGAACGTTTTTAGGTTTTTGTTTTCCTCCCATGCACTTTGTAGCTGGCCACAGGTTCCGTAGTTCGATTCTCCTTAAACTCAAGCCAGGAGGCCCCTTGCAGGAATCCTGGCCACAGATGTTCTTACCGAGGGCCCGAGGCCATGTCGCTGTCTGCAGTGGCCTCCTGTCAGAGAAAGAAATGTTTTTGGAGGTACCTCCTCCCTTGTCCTTCCTTGCTCACCCCCTGCAGTTGCCCGTTACTACTTTTCATCTCCTCGGTCGGGACCGATACTTCCCAACGATGATTCGTGGCCGGTGACGCAGCTGAAGGTCCTGTGTGGCCTGGGGAGATGCAGGGTCACGACGGAGCCTGTGGCACCCCCAGGGGCGAGGGCGGGCGGGCCGTGTGGATTGGGACACCTTGGTCAGTTAGCGGTGCCGCGGTAGCACCCTTCGCAACCCTGCTTCAGGATCGGGACTCCTTGAAATCAAACCCACTCTTTTGGTTGCCTATTGCTGCTGTAACAAATTACCATACGTTTGGGGGCTTAAAGCCACACACATTCACAATCTCCCAATGCTGGAGGCCCGAAGTCTGAAAGGGTCTCCCTGGGCTCAATTCCTTTCCGGAGGCTCCAAGGGAGGAGAAATCCCTTTCCGTACCTTTTCCAGCTTCTAGAGGTCTCTGCCTTCCTTGGCCTGTGACTTGTCCACCTGTCTTCAGAGCGAGCGAGAGTGGCCGGGCCCTTCTCGCCACACCTCTCCAACCTCCTCTCCTCCCTTCCTTGCCCACTTATGCGGCCCTGTGGTTACATTGGACCCCCTGGGATGATACAGGATAACCTTCCTGTTTGCATCTTACACTGCTAGCTCTGTTAACTTCACATGCAGCCTTACCCCTTTTGCCACATAAGGCGACAGCCTGTCGGCTCTGGGGATCAGGACGTGGCCGTCTCTGGAGAACACGCTTCTGCTGACCTTGTCCACTGGTGCACCGGGTGCCGCGGCCTCTGGTCTTATTGCCTGCTCTAGGATCTCACAGTTCTGGGTCCGGTGGACAGCTCCACAGCTGTGCTGCTGGAGGTCTTTGCCTGTCCCCAGTCATCCCTCTGTCCTTGTCATATACAGACCACATTTGTGGTCCTTCTAGCCTTACTTGTCCTCAGGTCCTGTGGCATCCAGTGGAGTTCCTAGGGATCAGAGGCTGTGCTGGGCAGCAGGAGAGAAGGGACAGTGTCTGCCCCCCTGGAGCGCCTAGGCCTCCCTACGCCCCCTACCAGCTCCCCTTTCTACACCTTGAGGCAGAAGCTCAGTGGCGAGGGCTCTGCCCACCACACTCCTGGACCATACACCGGCTATTATTGAGGAATTGGTCTGGAAGCTTCTTTGAATGACTCAAGAAAGATCTTGGCATCTCCTGCAGGGGTGTAGGGGCCCCTGTCCCCTGAAACTGGCTTCTCAGAATGCCTGAGGAGGTGTGGCCACCCCATGCATCCAGCCCCATCACAGAAGCAGTTCAAGCAGGTGTGCGCAAGCACTGGGCGGAGCCTTGCCAACCTGTCCGTCATTCTTCCACCCCTACTCACCCCCATCACTGGGAAGCCTCCTGCTTGTTGGAGCCATGCCCTGAGGCTCTGGGTACATCACGGCCTCTGAAGAGATAGGCAGGACTCCTCTCTGTCCAGCTACCTCCCCCAGGCCTCGCTGGGCCGAGTGCCAGCCCCACACGCAGGCTCGCCCATGTCTACTGAGTGGAGAATCCCTCCTGTTAGGGACAGGAGCGGGAGGCAGACGAAGCGGGGTATGGGTCCCGCAGGCCCAGCTCTTTCTCTGAACACCGGATCTGTCGTTCCCGTCCCCAGGTGACCGACTCCCTGCAAACCCATTTCCATCTAACATGGGTATCACATCCCCCCTGAGGGCTGTTTCCTAAAATGCCCTTGAGCTGGGAGCCAAAAGCTATAGCCTGAGGAAGGTGCATAGAGAGTCTGTGAAGGTGCCATTGAGCTTGGGAGCGGGCGGATTTCGCTTCACGCCAGGCACAGTCCACTGTGTATGCAGTGAGACTGCTCTGTTCTGGGGCTGCTTGGAGTCTTGATGTCTGAAGCCACCAACCAGGCTGTGAATGTCCAGAGCACCCCCGCGGGCAGGGCCGCTGTGGCCGGCCTGGTGGTGGTACACACCCGGGCGCGCTCTCTTGGACTCTTCACCTGGTCGACACTTGGTTCTGCTTCAGTTTTTTGTTTTTTGTTTTTTTTAAGACCCCAAACAGCCAAACAGGTTCCTCTTCATTTTAGACAAGTGACTTGAGCCTCAGTTTCCTTACCTGTAAATGAAAGAACTGATGGAGCTTGTGAGGCCTGGGCCCCTCTGTAAGTCGCTCACGGGTGCTTGGCGCCCAGGCGAGGCTCTGTCAGGATGGGGGTGTCATCCTGTGTGGGTGGGGCGTGGGAGTGGGGAGCTGCAGCATAGTCCCAGGAGCTGGGGGTCAGGAGGCCTTTACGAGTGTCCAGGGGCTCCTAGCCTGCAGGTGTGGACCACACTTCCCGCACCGGTAACCCAGGGAGTGCAGTGGGATCTGCCGTGGCTCCTAAGGGTTTGTCCATGGGCCAGTGGCATTGACCTTCCCCGTGAGCAGCCAAGTGGCAGGACCCTGGCAGGCTGTGAGTTCCCTTGGGTGGGGAAGCGCAAGGGCTCCAGGAAGAGGACTGCGTGCTTGCTGCCCGGGAGGCGAGGGAGACGCTGTCCTGTGCAGAGATCCTGTCTGGGCTTCTGGGCCCTGGGTGAGGTGGGTCGTGTGCAGGCCTTGGGGACTGTCGCTCAGCCCTGGGTCTTTCTCTGACAGCTCCCCCTGCCCACTTTGGGCTAATTGGACCTCTGTGCTCTGCACTTGCAGCCAAAGGGAGCTGACCGGAAACAGAAGACCGACCGGGAAAAGATGGAGAAGAGAACTGCCCAAGAGAAGGAGAAGTACCAGCCGTCCTACGAGACCACCATTCTCACAGAGGTGAGCTGGCCAGGTGCCCGGTGCGGGGCCCAGGCCTTTCTGCCGGGAGCAGGACGATGGCACTGTTGGTCTAGATTCTCGGGAAATTGCCCACCTTGAAGGAATGCTTCTTTTGAAAGTGCCCATTAGATTGTGGTAGGTTCCCGGGTCCAGAGCTGTGTTCATGCGATAAGGCCGGGTGGCCAGAAATAGCTTCCAGCTCTGGGCTGCCATTTGCACTTTCCAGAATCGGGTTATTATTATTTTTTTGATCGGTAAAGGCCCTAAATCTGAAAGGTAGAAGAGAGTGTATGTACCTCAGAAAATACCTCTCCCAAAGGTGCCCTAGCCTTGAGCTTTCCCCAAGGGCAGCTGGTGTCTCTGGGTCTACCTGTGTCTGGCCCAGCTTTCTCTGCAAAGGAAGCCAGCTCACACACATTTGCTCCACACCTGCTTGTTTTGCACCAACAGCACGCACAGACATGCTGTTCTGTAACTGTATTTAATAGCCTATGGGAGTCTGTTCCCCATCTGTTCACAAAGAGCATTCTAGTACTTTATCCAGTGGCGTGGCTTCCGTTGTGTAGGTGGATGGCCTACTGGAGGACATCGGGTTCTTTCCAGGCTCTGGCTATTTGAGACAGGGAGCATTGGATGACCCCCTGCACGTGAGGTTCTGCATGTGGTAGAAAGACCCGCGGGCTTCCTTTCTCAGCGGGCTTGCTGCTTGGTGGTTTGGACAGGTGTTGGAATGGGTTTCCTCCTAACCCTGACACCCGCTGCAGCCATTCTCTGTCCAGGGTACGTCTGAGACCCTCGCTGTCACAGGCTCTCCTTCCTCCTGTCACAGGTCACCTCTGGTGCCACCTCTTCCTGGGTGGGCTCTGTTGTTTGTTTAAACAGCTGTTCTACACTGTGTTCTGTAATCAGTATAGCCAGTGGGTGTCTGTTCACCGAATAACTTGAAAGGCCCTCCACACACGCATGAGGCCCAGCGCCGGCCATGGTGGGGTTAAGGCAATGTCAAGGGTGAGGCCCAGCTACGGAGCATCTAAGAGAACAGTGGCCGGTCCTGGTCCTGGCTGATGGGGTGTGTGTGTGAGCACGTGTATTCAGCCATAGGCAGAAGGCTGTCGGCAACAAGGTAGTCTGGAAGCTAATTTGGCACAGGCCGATACGTACTGGTGTTTCATCTAACTCGGGATACTGTGGCCAGTGAGCCCTGGGGCAGGAAGAGCCTGCCTTACTCTCGGCAGCAAAGCAGTGCAAGGCCCTGCATTTAGGAATTAGGGCTCAGACCGGTGGGTTCTCCCCAGGCCTCGATCCCTTCCCCTGTGGGTGATGCCATCCGGGGTTGGCCTCCATGCTCCCACTGCCCTGTATCTACAGACACCTCTTCCTTCCAGGCTGAACCTCAACCTCTCTGCTCCGGGCTATCTCCTGACTTCCCCAGGGGAGGAGAGGTCTGGGGGTACTTCAGAAACCCCCCAAGCCCTTGTCAGAGCGGTGTGGTTGGTCAAAACCCCCACCTGGCCTGTGACCTTGTGAGGTGACAGTTTGTCGGCTTTCCTCCTTGGCTCCCGGATTTAGCACCAACAAATTCCAACCCACGCTCACCACAGAGTTAAATATTTGCCAACCTGTGGGTCGGCAGCTGATAGTAAATCTTCAGGAACGCTTCAAATTGGCCCTCTCCAAAGAGGTGTCCTCACTGGGAAGGGAAGAAGTGAATACTGGATCTGCTGGCTGCCCCAACAGGCAAAACCTGTATGTCTGTGCTTTCTCTGGGCGATTCTCACATACGTTCATTTTTGGCTTCTGCACAAGAAGTTCCTCAGAGGCCGAGGATCACATCTTCAGTGTGGCTTGTCTCCCTGAGCTCCTAGCAGGACACCTGACCCACACTAAGCACGCACAGAATGATGGTGAAGGGGGGCTGCCCCCGGAGATTGAGCAAGTGCCTCCTGCTCTCCAGGGCCTGTCGGCTGATTCTGGTTTCAAATAGTGCAGATTTTAGTTCTGAGCTTTACTGATGATTTTTGTTTGGGAGTTACCTGGGTCCAGTGCTTCCTGTTGCGCGCATTCACCCACATTTGTCTGTGCCTGGGAAACCTGCCTCTGGGCAGCTGGCTCTCTCCTTGTGGACCCAGGTGATGGATGATGTTTCTTGCCCTCGCTGGTGTGGCTGCTGGGAAGCTCAGAGAGACACATGCCACACCTTGCTTGCTCTGGGTATGACTGAATGGCAGGTGTCTTCTCTGCCGTACTTGGTTTCTTCTGTGTGGCCCAAGTAACCCATGCTTTGCTGGCTCACACGGGCCCCGGGAGAATGTGGGCCAGGTGTTGAGGGCTCGGTGGTTGCATGCACCGGCCTCAATGGCTGCTGCTGCCCAAGTTCCTCCTGAGTACGATGGCCCCCGAGTCACCGCTGCCCTGTGCTCTTTCTGCAGTGCTCCCCGTGGCCCGACATGGCCTATCAGGTGAACAGCGCCCCGTCTCCCAGCTACAATGGCTCTCCAAACAGCTTCGGCCTCGGCGAAGGGTACGTCTGCTGTTTTCTCCCTCTAAGAGTCCATGGAGTGATCTTGGGTATAGGCTCCTTTCTTCTCTGCCTTTTCCCTCCTTTAGTACCTTGGCATTGATTTGGGTTTCGGAGAGGTGTTTGTAATATTTGCACAGCTTTCTGTGCGTGGACATGTGTCTGTAAACACCCATCTGTGGGGCAACAGCCCACAACCTGCCTGCCCACGCCTTCCCCCGGTAAAAGCAGGTTGGTCTGCAGGGGCCCTCCAGGGCAGAATGGCCCCCTACACAGATGGGGCCTTGGGAGGCAGCTGTTTGGGTGGCTGCAGTGGCCGCGAGGGGCCTTCTTGGTTCTCTCTGTGATCCTTGTGCACGTTCTCTGGGTAGCAGGGTCAGCCCAGGGTGATCCTGGCCCTGGGTTTCAGGGCTTGTAACCCAGAAGTGGCCTCGTTACTGGTCACCCGGCTCTGCAAATGCACAGGCCACACTGACTCTAAGGTGACAGTAGTACAGGGGCCGGTGGGCGTCGGTCCGGCCTTTCCCGGGGTTTGTGGCACAGGAAGGGCCCACGGCGCCCTGTGATGGCCGTGCACATCTTGATCCTGTTCCTGGGGGCAGGGGGAGATGTGGGCGTGGAACCTGGGATACCTCAAAACTTGTGCTTGTCACACAAGAGTGTCTATGAACTTGATTTCACAAGGTGAGGGGGGTTGGGGGGGCATAGAAAAGACGTCATGTTCAGAATCAGGCGGACCGAGTGTTAAATCCCACCTTTTGGGGGGTCAGTTCCTTAATCTCCCTCAGCCTTGCTCTCCCCACTACCAAGGGAGTCAGGATTTCATGCAGGGTCAGGGGAACGTGTGTAAGGTGCCCCGGGCCTCAAAGACACGTGACAAAGCGTAGCTGTTTTTACCGATGACTGGTCTGAGGGTCATCCCTACAAGGGCCTTTTCTTCATTGTTAGTGTGATAAGGTACACACAAATTGAAACTTATCATTTTATGATTAAAAATTTTTTTAATGCTTATTTTTGAGAGAGAGAGAGAGAGAGAGCGCGCACGTGCGCGTGCCTGCAAATGGGGGAGGGGCAGAGAGAGAGGGAGACACAGAATTCGAAGCAGGCTCTTGGGTCTAAGCTGTTAGCACAGAGCCCGACGGGGGGCTTGAACTCGCGAACCGCGAGACCATAACCTGAGCCGAAGATGGATGCTTAACCAACTGAGCCACCCAGGCACCTCTGGGAGGGTCATTTTAAAATGTATCTCTCTCTTGGTGTGCCTGGGTGGCTCAGTCACTTAAGGGTCCGACTCTTGGTTTTGACTCAGGTCGTGATCTCATGGTTTGTGAGATCGAGTCCTGTGTCAGGCTCCACGCTGACGGTGTGGAGCCTACTTGGGGTTCGTTCTCTCTCTCCCTCTCTCTCTCTCTCCCTTTCTCTCCCTTTCTCTCTCTGCTCCTCCCCTGCTTGTGCTCTCTCTCAAAATAAATAAACTTAAAAAAAATAAAGTGTATTTTTCTCTCAACTTAAAAATCCAGATATTTAGGGGTGCCTGGGTGGCTCAGTCGGTTAAGCGTCCGGCTTCGGCTCAGGTCATGATCTTGCGATCTGTGAGTTAGAGCCCCTCGTTGGGCTCTGTGCTGACAGCTCAGAGCCTGGAGCCTGTTTCAGATTCTGTGTCTCCCTCTGTCTCTGGCCCTCCCCTGTTCATGCTCTATCTTCCTCTGTCTCAAAAATAAATAAACATTGAAAAAAAAATTAAAAAAAAAATCCAGATATTTAGGTCTGTGCCTTCTCTGTAGCAAGCCCTTGAAGGGAGGTCGGTGTGCCTCCAATGATGAGACTGTTTTTCTCGTGGACGGACGTCCCAGGGTGGCTGTCGTTCACTGTAGGACGCCTCCCTGGGGAGCCCCCAGCCCTCTCCTGTCTCCGCAGAGAGAAGTGTTTAGCTGCTGCCGTCCAGGCACCAAGTCACTGTGCAGAGTCGTGTTTGGGGCTTTTAGGGCTGGTGCCCTTCCCTGGGGCTGAGGCTGGGGTGGAAATGGTGTGGGAGAGAATCAGATGCAAACAGACCCTGAGCTTGGGGTGGAGGGGTTATCGCTGGCCCGGCTGTGTTGCCAGCCAGAACATCGTGTCTACCCTGAATGGTTGGTCAGGGATTTTGAGGGGCTGTGCAGGTGGTTACTGCCCACACTCTCTGACCTGGGAAATTCTGGACGCCCTGCTGCATTTGCAGCCAACACCATACCTGAGAGGAGGTGAGAGCCCTGGCCCGGGGACCTTCCTGTGTCCTGGAAGGCATCCTCACACCTTATGACCTGTTCTCTTCCTTTGCAGGAACAGCTCTCCGACCCACCCAGTGGAGACCCTGCCCTTGGGCAATGACGTAAGTGTCTGCAGCCAGGCTCTCTGGCCGCGTGTCCCTGGGTAGACTCTGCCTGGTCATTTCAAGGCCCTTTCTCTCTGCTTGCAGCACCTGCTTCCATCGGCCTCGATCCAGGACGCCCAGCAGTGGCTGCACCGAAACAGATTCTCACAGTTTTGCCGGCTCTTTGCCAGCTTCTCGGGTGAGAGCATCTCTGTGTTTTATTTATTTATTTATTTATTTATTTATTTATTTATTTATTTATTTATTTATAATTTTTCCCCCCTTAATGTTTATTCATTTTGAAAGAGAGAGCATGAGCGGGAAAGGGGCAGAGAGAGGGAGACACAGAATCCGAAGCAGGCTCCAGTCTCTGAGCTGTCAGCACACTGTGCCTGCAGGACCGTGGTTTTGGCCTGGGGACCCAGCATAGCATTGGTCACTCACTCACATTTGCCGACCCTGGGCCAAGTGCTAAATTAGGACATCCTGCCCCTAGAAGTTTCCAGTCGAGGGTGGCTGTTAGAGCGGACCATGTGGGTCCCATGGGGCGGGCTCTAGTCTACCTGGGAAGGGCCCCCTTGGCCAGGCAAATGAGGCCGCTGCATACTCAGCAAGCCTTCCTGGTAATGCTGCCTTTCGGTCACACGGTCTCCAGAGGCACGACCTGTGAGATGGTGGTGAAGCCACAGGTGAGAAGGGGAATCTGGTCCTTCCTTCTCTAAATGGTTGTTGAAGCCCTTGCTGACAGGGCTGTTAGAGACCCAGAGCCAGGGCTGTGGGGTATAAGGGTAGACTGAGCAGTGAACATTGCCACCAAGCTGAGTCAGTCCAGAGTGACGGGGAGGAGAGTTTTGGCCAGAACTAGAGGAGCGACCCCCAAGGGCATCTGTGGCAGTGGAAGGAGCACCGCACGTGGTCATCTTTTAGCCCAGCTTCTGTTAGACCTTCCTCTGTGCTGGGGGGCAGGTACGAGGACGGTGGGACAGGGACGTTGTCCTCAGGGGTCCTTGCAGCTTCGAGTCAGTGCAGCTGTGTGAACCAGGCGTCTCAGCGCAGTGTGACCCTTCTGTGATGGGCAGGCTGTGAGGAGGGACGTGGCCCCGGCCGGGGAGGAGTGAGGAGGGCTGCCGTCTTAAGGTGGGGTGCTCTGCACAGGTCTTCCTGAGAAGTGCCCTTGAGCAGAGGCTGGGCCAAGGGAGGGACGTGAGCCAAGTGGGGAGGGGGACAGTGAAATTTCCAAGCGGGGCGAAAGTGCAGAGGCCACAAGGTGGATGCCTGACTGGTGTGACCACAGAGCAGAGCACCCAGGTGACTGGGGCCAAGGGAACCGGGGAAGGAGGTGAGGTCAGAGAGGTACTGAGGGGCCTGGTAGAAGAGTGGAGGGAGTTTGGCTTTTACTCCGTGTCGGGGAGCCATTGTGCCTACGGAAATACACCTGAAACTGTATCTTAACTGTGGCAGGAAAAGGGGGATATGGATATTGTCACTCCTGGCCATGTGGCTGTTGGCCGGTTTTCAGCAGAAGGCTCATAGCATACTTGTGCCTCGGAGAGTCCACATGGGCACAAGCCTGTAGAGGACTCCTTGAGCTTTGAGGAAGAGACTGTATCTGCAGACGAGGATGTTCATAGACCTTATTCATAATCGCTCCCAACTGGGAGCATGCCCAGTGCCTATCGGCAGAAGGGACACGTGAGTGTGGTGTATGCACCCAGCCAATAATGTCTAAGAAAGGGCATGAATGATGTATAACCACAAACAGCATGAACGAGCCCTTAAATAGAGCTTGGAGGGAGGAGCAGACATCAGAAAACACAGCCAATTCAGTTCCACTTATGTAAGTTTCAAAGACGCACGCAAAAGTCCTGCCTGTGAGAAATCAGGACAGCAGTTCCCCATTGGCAGGGAGGGGGGCTGGCTGGCACGAGGGGCCTGTGGGGGGTGGGAGCATTCTGCCTCTTGATCTGTGCGCTGGGAGCACGGGTGCCTTCAGAGCGGCCGCCTCTGGCGAGCCATGTACTTTTGTATTCAGGCAAGTGCATGTGCGACCGGCATCCCGTGCTGGGTGCCATGCCCATATGTTACGTGCCGGTGAACGGTGTGGAGGGAGTGGCAGGCAGGCACAGGCTGTGAGGACCTCTCAGCTCTCATAGATGCCCGATTTTTGAGTTTTGAGAACACTACTCCTCTCTTGTGCGGTGGTTTTCTGATGTTTATCTTTTTGCTGTTTCTTTCTCCCTGCAATGTCTGATGCTCCCTGAGGATGAGGCAGACTCTTCCCTGTCCCCCCACCCACGGTGCAGCATCTGCAGGTGCCCAGGGAGGGGACCTTTTCTGTGTGTCCCACTAATGAGTGGCCTCATTTACCTACCTAGGTGCTGACTTGCTTAAGATGTCTCGAGACGATTTGGTCCAGATCTGTGGCCCTGCCGATGGGATCCGGCTCTTTAATGCCATCAAAGGCCGGTGGGTGTCAGTGTCCAGCTGGATACAGGGGGTGGCAGGAGGCCCCATCCCGGTGGGCTGGCTGGTAGGGACAGGGCTCCTCAGGGAACAGGTGCAGAAGGAGGCCCTTTGAGGGGGGATCAGGGTCATGGGGGGTGGGGCGGGGCTGTGCCGGCCAGCCGCTGCTCATCTTGCCCGGAGGCCCCTTCTCTCTCTCTCTCTCTCACTCTCTCTCTCTCTCTCTCTCTCTCTCTCTCTCTCTCTCTATCGGCAGGAGCCTTGGCTCTGGCTGTCAGCCTCTCCCTGGGTGCCCAGCGGCTTTCATGGTCCTGGGTTTCCAGCTGCCTCCTCCCAGAAGGAGGCCTGGATTGGCTACTCAGCCTCATGCCGCAACGCCCGGTTCTCTGGGTAGACTGGAGGGCGGGGCTGGGTCTGAGGGAGCCACCTGCTGTGGCGGAAGTGGTCTGGGCCTCTCCGCTCAGTACGGCAGCCCCGGCCTCGTGTGGCCGTGGGGTGCCTGGTTTCAGGCTAATGTGACTGAGCATGTGACTTTTAAATTTCATTTAACTTTCACACGTGAACAGCCCAGTTTTAGAGGGAGGGAGAGAGCTGCGGTGTGAATCTCACATCTGATCTGCCTCTTACGGGTTTTACAACGGGGTTAAAGCCTTCATCCCTGTGAACCTCAGTTTCCTCCTCTGTAAAATGAGGTTCCAGCTCGCTGGGTGTGTGAGGATGGAGGGCGGTGGGCATGTTGAGTTCTGGAAAGCCGGAGAAGGTGTTTGCGCTTGTTACCACCCTAAAAAACGCCTTGTGTCTTGAGCCTCGTGTTCTGGGCAGAGTGCCCTCATGGCCTGTTGTGGGACCTCCTGCCTGCAGGCAAGCCCACATGCAGCCGTAGAGGCCCAGCACAAGTATGGGCCCCTGCATGCTGGAACGTTCCGGAACAACAGAGCCTGGTCCTCCTCCCCCTCCCCCATCCCCTCTCCCCCCTCCCCCCTTCCCCCTCCCCCCTCCCCCCTCCCCCCTCCCCGCTATTTATTTCCTCTGCTCCTGCCAGGAATGTGAGGCCGAAGATGACCATTTACGTCTGTCAGGAGCTGGAGCAGAACCGAGCGCCCCTGCAGCAGAAGCGGGATGGCGGTGGGGACAGCAGTCTGTGTGGTGAGTTGTGGGCACCCCTCCCCAACCCAGGGCCGATTATAGGGGTTGGCAGAGTAACAGGAAGATGTAGCAGCAGCCTGAGTCCTCTTGCAGAGAACGTTGCCACTGAACCCATCTCACTCCGGCTTCGTGCAAGACGAGTTTTTGTTCAACTTCCTCCTGGGATCAAAATGTTTTAAGGTGGAGGTCATCCCGCAGAACGTGTGGTCCAGCGTACTTCCTTCCTACCTGGGGAACAGGCCCAGGGAGGGGGTGTGTTCCCCCAGAGCCACTTAGCCACTTGTGGTATTGGGAGTGGGGCCTTCTGGCTCCCAGGCTGGTGACAGGTGACACTCAGTGGCCATATTCCCGCAGTGTGGCCTCCTGTGGTTTCCCCCAGCTGGATAAGTCTTTCCCATGTGGTTTGGTGGCCGCACGAGGGCTGAGGAGCACCTCAGGGGCACGTGGCTCTTTCCGGTCGGCAGTCTAGTCTGGAGGCAGTTTGGTGAGAGGACACGGCTGAGGTCAGGCCCAGTGCCGGCCGTGTGGCCTGTTGGCAGTGTGGCCTCGGGCAGGGTACCAGGGCCTGTGCCGCAGCTTCCACATGTGTGAAATAGAGACAGCAACCCAACCCCCAAGGCGTGCGGTTTCAGCGAGACCATGCAGGGAAGGGGAAGCGCTTTGCTTCTGGGCGCTTGCCAGCGTCAGTAGAGTCTGTGCTCTGTGTGTGTCTGCAGGGAGTGAGGGAGCACCCCGTGTGCCTCTGCAGGTCCCTCCAGATCGCTCTGGCCCTGTCCAAAGGGCTCCGTGTGCTCACTTATTTGCTTCTAGCAGGAACTATTGGGAACGTTGTCTCACTGTGGGGGACCCTGAGGCACAGAGTGGATAACTGCCCCAAAACGACAGCGTCGTACAAAGCAGAGCCAGAACCCAAACAGTTGGACCCCAGGAACTGGCTTCTGAGCCCTGGGTCTGGCGCCTGTACGCTTCTGGAGGATGTCTGGGTCCTCCCCCTGCTTTGCAACTGTCAGCCTGTGAAGAACGGATTTCAGCTCGTGGAGCTGACCCTGCATGTGCCCCGAGGCTCTGGGACGTGTAGAGATTGTTTGTGGCCTTGCTTCTCGTGTGGCCGGGTTGGGATTTGAACCTGGGATTGCCTACTCTAGAGCCTCGTGCTTCCCCAGGCTGCCCCCACCAGACCCTGGATGACAGGTGGCTTGGGAGGCGTTCAGGGGAGTGTCTCACTGACCCTGTCAGCCGCTCCAAGCACTCCTGGTGGGCACCACACTCAGCTGGGGGCAGGCAAGGCCAGTGACAAAAGGTTACAGCACAGGGTGCTGGCCTGCGAGCCATCTGGGTGTTTGTGGCCAGCCTGATTTGTTGGCAGAGTGAACTCAGAAAAAGTGGAGCAGGGTAACCTAAACACAGGTAGGTTAGAAGTGTTATAAAAAGGACTCCCACGAGAGAGGCTGGCATTTGGAGCTGGTGTCTGCACAGGAAGGGGCAGCACACAGCGGCCACCTCCTCTGCGGAGTTGGACGGCCGGTCAGCCTGTCTGACATCCTGGGACGGCGAATCTGTTGCCTGGCTGGCACCCCTTCAGGGGGAGCCGATGTGTGTGCGTTTGCACATGCATGCACACACGCTTTTGTAAGAATGGGGTCTCTGTTCCTCGGTTGAGCTAGGAGTTTGGGAATCTCTAATTCAATCTGGTTGTGCACCCCTCCCCCCACCCCTGAGTGTGTAGTCCACCACCGGGAGCCCAGAGTTGCCTCCCGCCTGGCGGGTTTGAGTTTCGAATAAGGAAGCGTTTCCAGCCTCGGGGTCACTGCTGTCTTCCAGCGGGCTGGTGACACTCCCAGCGCACCCCTTCCCTTTGTGGTCGCAGTGCTGGAGCCGAGTAGTATTTGTGCTGCGGGGAAGGGCAAGGACAAGACTCGCCTGCTGTCAAGTGGCAGTTATCCTTAAATCCCGCTCTTTGCTCCCCCAAAGCCATCCTATGGCCCCTCTGTGCAACGGAAAGGAAGGAAAGGGGACACAGGATTTCTCCTCTCTCCTGCGAGGGTGCACGTCTGGCCGCATGTCAGAACCGCTGGAAGCTTGTTAAAATACAGAGTTGTGCCAGCTGATCTCGCTCTAGCTCCCAACCCTAAATGGGTGTCACTGGGTGTGGGGCGGACACAGGAATTCTACATTCTATGGAAGATCCCCCCAGGAGAGATGGGTACGGGAATGAGGACCCATAGCCTCGCTGCGGTTCCCCTGTCACTGGGCCGTGCAGGGGCTTTGTGCCTGTTCCAGCCAGGTCCTGGCGAATCAGTCTGGGCATGGGCATCCTTACAACCCAGTGACTGATGGGGGGGTGGGCACAGGGGTGGGCTTCTTAGAAAGCAGGCGTGTGTTCTACAGAAGGCCCTGTCCCTCACCCTGCAGTGTACCACGCCATCTTCCTGGAGGAGCTGACCACCTTGGAGCTGGTTGAGAAGATTGCCAACCTGTACAGCATCTCCCCCCAGCACATCCACCGAGTCTATCGGCAGGGCCCCACCGGCATCCACGTGGTGGTCAGCAACGAGGTGAGCGCTGCCCAGCCCCAACTTGCGGCCCGGGTCTTGGGGCTGCAGGGAGGCACCCCCTGGGGCTTGGGGATGACTTCCGTCCAGAGATGGCCGCTAAGTCTTCTCCGCGTGCCACATGACCTTGACTGCACCCGGAGCGCAGGGGGAGAGAGTTCTGTGGCTCTAAATAGTTTTCTAGTGTCCACTCCAGGCCCCATCCTCAGCCAGGCGCCATGCAGGAGCCACGGCACAGACTGCACCCCTGCCCTCAGGGTGCTCACGGTCGGGGCTGGAAGAAGTTGGGAGGAGGGTGGGCGGCGGGTCCCAGGGGGCTGGGTGATGGAGAGGATGCAGGTCGTGTGAGAGAACGGAGCCCTCCTGTGCTGAATGGTGGAGGCGCCGCAGCCTTCCCGGGTCTGTCCTTGGCTGCACAGACCTGTACACGGCCCAAGCGGCCGCTGGCAGAGGGCACACGGTGATCTGATCGCACTCACGGCTAAGGAGGGGGTTATTAATTAAACTGGTTTGCCGGGATGTTTAGGCATTCCTGCACACGGCAGAACAGAGCTTTCAGGCCTGTTCTATCCCGGTCCCTCCTCTTGATAATAACAGTAAGGAGTGTCGGTATTTACCTGCTGCTTACTGTTCTAAGTGCCCGCGTAGTGATTCGTTTAATCCCAACAGCTTCCTGTGAAGTGGGTAAAATGATCCCACTTCATAAATGGGAAACTGGAGGCACAGAGAGGCTGAGTAATTGCCCCAGGTCTCACAGCTCGTAAGGGGATGGGAACCCTGGTGTCTGGCTGTAGAGCCCAGCTCATAGACAGCAGGCTGTGCCACCTCCCCTGAAATGAGCCCTTTATAAACACAGTTGGGCTAATGGGGGCGGGGCAGCCCCCTGAGCCCCCTGTGAGAACTCTGAAAGCATCTGGAGAGGACTGTAGGTGCATTGGCACCCGAACGGTGGCTGGGAGTGCAGAGCAGATGTGGGCTTTGGGATTGGATGCGTGTCCCCGCCTGGACCTTGCTCCCAGGAGCGGAGTGACCTGGGGCAAATTTACGTAACTCTGTGAGCCTCAGTTTACACAGCTGTAAAATGGGGATAAGTATACCCACCAAGGAGGTTGGAGTAAGGATAAAATGAGAAGATAGCATCAGGCACCAGGAGACCCCAGATAGGGGTGGTGAGAGCCCCCCATTTCATGGCAGTTTGGTCCTGGAGGTTGGCAAGGGGGCAGCGATTGCCCTCCTTTTGAACTCAAAAGCAATTCACAATTAGTATAAGTCAGGAAGTGTAAATCGGGGCACCTGGGTGGCTCAGTCGGTTAAGCGTCTGACTTTGGCTTAGGTCTTGATCTCACGGTTTGTGGGTTCGAGCCCGGCATCAGGCTCTATGCGGATGGCTCAGAGCCTGGAGCCTGCTTCGGATTCTGTGTCTCCCTCTCTCTCTGTCGCTCCCCCACTCTCCCTCCACCTCAAATATAAACAAACATTAAAAAAAATTTAAAAAGTGTAAACCAGCTGAAGGCAAATGTGAAGGGTCCTTATCTTCCCCACTCTTTTCCTAGAAGAGTTTATGTTAGCTTTGAAGGGATTCTGCCAGACGACGTTTTGTGCGAGCGTCCGTCATGTGCCCGAGCGTTGTGTAGGTTGTGTAGGTGTGGGTTTTAAAAACACATGACAAAGATGGACGCCTGGCTGGCTCAGTGGAGCACGCAGCTCTTGATCTCGGGGTTGTGAGTTCAAGTCCCATGTTGGGTGTGGAGATTTCTTAAAAATAATAAAATCTTTAACACACACACACACACACACACACACACACACACACACGCACATCCCAAAGGTCCAGCTGTACATTTTCTGCAACTTGCTGTCTTTGTCACCGGTTCAGAACTCCTTCCATGTCATTACGTTCAAATCCAGTGCAGCTATTTTTGCACCCCCGTTTCACAGATAAGATGAAGCCCAGAGTTCCCGACTTGAGCACTAACTTTAGAGTAGCCAGGAAGGTTGAGACATCCTGAGCGATGGACTGCTGTAGTGGCACGGAAAATGTGTCACTTTGCATTTCACAATGAATTTCTTTGGTGAAGACAAAAGCCAAGAATGTGCGGAACCCTTGCAATTTCACGGGTCCCTGCAGGAAGTTCCTTCCCCAGCTTGCCCTGTGCCCTCCAGAGTGAGCAGTTAAGCAAGTGAAGCAGAGAACAGAACTCAAAAGCTACCTCAGCTAAGTAGGCGATTCTTATTCCCCTGAAGTCTCCTTGCCTCTTAACCCTGAATCAATTGGAAACCTTTGGTTCTTAATTGCCAGAGCGCTGGAGGCAGCCTGGCCAGCCGCGGAGCCAGCCCCTGAGGTGCAAGGGCACTTAATTAAACAAGGGAGTTACTGATTAAGCCCAAGTGGGCTCTGCTTAGGGCTTTGCATGCCCAAGTGGCTGGGCCGCCAAGAGTCCTAGAGGGCACAGGCCAGTAGTATAGAATAAATGTACTTCATGCATCATTAGGCCCTGCAGGGAGGGGCAGGGGTCGACAGGTGGATGGATTTGCAGGATTTGGGGGGCAGTAAAATGTAGCTTGAGTTTTTTAATTTGGAAAGGGGTTTTGCCATCGTGTTGGCTAGTCTGTGTGTGTGTGGGGGGTATGTTTAAGTATATTTTTAATATTCTTTCCGTTGATATTGTGAAATATGGCAGATGTATGCTTAAGTGTCCGATACCTGCACTCCGGTTAGTGCCATATTGTGTTAGCCCCTTTGTGGGCTCCTTTCCTGTTCCACTCCATCCCTCCACCTGCTGGTCGGAATTTTGTGTTAATCGCTCCTTTGTTCCTCCTCAACATATTTAATTTTGCCTATTTTAAAACTTGATATAGGTGGAATAATAGCATATTTTTCTGTGACTTTCTTTCATTTCCCTGTATATTTAAGCAAATTTTTTTTGAATTTTTATTTATTTTTGAGAAAGAGAGAGACAGAGCATGAACGGGGGAGGGGCAGAGAGAGAGGGAGGCACAGAATCCGAAGCAGGCTCCAGTCTCTGAGCTGTCAGCACAGAGCCCGACGCGGGGCTTGAACTCACAAACCGCGAGATCATGACCGGAGCCAGAGTCGGACGCTTAACCGACTGAGCCACCCAGGCGCCCCGATTCCCTGTATATTTTTGAGATTTCACACAGGTCAGATGCTGCTGGAGGCCAGTGGTGCACTGAATGGCGTAGCATGATTAGGCCACAGTTTGTTCGTGCTTCCGCTGACTGACACAGGCACGGTCTCCAGTTAGCAGTTTCTTTTAAGTTTTTGTTTAAACAATCTCCACACCCAACGTGGGGCACGAACTCATGACCCTGAGATCAAGAGTCCCATGCTCCTCCCACGGAGCCAGCCAGGCGCCCCCTCTAGTTAACAGACAGCGCTGCTCTAAACATTCTCAGGTGCGCTTTGTGTGTCCACGTGCCGGAGTTTATCTAGAACCCCAGCCTGTAGGAGGAATGTCCTAGATCCTGTGGGCAAGTTTCATACAGCGGTCATATGGCTGAACACTCCACCAGCAGCGGGTACCAGTTTGCATTGTTCTACACCCTGGTTCTGTTCTTCTGTTATGGAAACAGCCCCATTTTACAGATAGGGCATGGGGACCAGCAGGAAAAAGGTTGACTTGCCCAAGGTCACTTGGTAGTTAATCAGAATGAGAACTGGAGAGACTTGGCTGAGTAATGCTTTCATTCCTGCCACTTTGTACACATAGGGGGTGGCGCTGTGTTTCTATTGGTCCTCCTGGGAGTCTGATATATGGAGGCTACCAATCACCAAGGTATTTTTTTTTTAAGCACTGTAATTTTTTTGTCGTTGTTGCTATTGTACACACACACGCTTCTGTAATGTGGCCACTGTAGGGATTGGAGGACCAAGTAACTAGGAGAACGCAAAACGAAAGCAAACAAACATGTAGTTCTGTATTAAATGTGCACATTTTGCTTCCCTGCCAGGCTCCTTTCTGTCCTTTCTGTTCAGTTTTTGTTACTTAAAATGGTAATCATTTTGTACATTTATCTTGTTTCATGTTTCCTTAGTAAGTGTTAGTGGAACCGTTCTCCTGCATTTGTGCAAACACAGTGACCGTCATTTCCGCCAGCTGTGGTGGCTTAGCTCCGTGTCACTGAGGCTTTTCATATTAGGAAGTCCTTGTTGAAGGGACATGGTCTGTCTTTTGCCTTTCAGATGGTGCAGAATTTCCAGGATGAGTCTTGTTTTATCCTCAGTACCTTGAAAGGTAAAGCCCCCTCACCCCTTCTGGCTGCGCCCCCTGCCTCCTCTCTGGGTAATAGGGTGAGTGGGGCCTGCCTGCGCGGTGGGTCCCTGGAGACAGCGTTATCTGGGGACATCATCTGGGGAAAAGGAACGCAGACTTCCTGTGAAGCCTTGCCCTGGAAATGCGAGAACTACTGAGATTGGCCCCCATAGTCTGTTCTGAAGGGGAAATCCTTGCCAGGAGATGTGTTCTCCATGATCTCCCTCACTCAGCCTGTAGGCCTGGTGGATCAGGGATCTGGGGCTGGGGTGGGGCATGAAGGTTCCACTTGGGGAAGGTGTCTGAGAAGGAGCTCGTGTGCCAGGAGACAGAAAGACTAGCTGTGACCCTCCTTAGGCCTGGGGCAGGTGAATGTATGGAGTATATCAGAATGAATGCCCTATGACCGGGTCACAGACTCTGGACTCTGACAGGGCCATTCCTTTCCCCCCTGTTCTCTGGATCTAGCCAGCAGCTGCCTTCAGAGAGCTGGGGGCCATAACACCCCGAGAACCACAGTTTGTTCAAAGCCTTCTTGGACATAGAGCCTTCAGTCCTTGGGCCCAGGGCTGTAGTAGAAAGGCTCGTTGCCATGAAGCGTGTGTTAAGATGCCTGGTTTTGTTAGCACCCTTTGCTCTATGCATCTGTTTGGAGCCAATATCCGTGGCGGGACTCCTGCCGGTACACCCGTACCGTGCCCTCCCTCCTTCCCCAAGGTCATGCTGTCTTGCCCTTCTTCCTGTGAAATGTCCAGTGTTTCTCTTTGCAGCTGAGAGCAATGATGGCTACCACGTCATCCTGAAATGTGGCCTCTGAGCGAAAGTCCAGCGTGTGAAGTACGGCCCCCACCCCACAGCCCAATGGATTCCCTCGGATGTAGAAACCGCACCACTCTACGCCGCAGCCTCCCCTGGCGGGCTGTGGCTGGGAGGGACTTGGCCGGCCCAGTCCAGGAAGATCACAGCCCACGAACCAGCAGAACCCTGCGGATGCAGTCTCTGGTGTACGGAAAGCCAGCGGCTCCTCTCTCCCTTCCTCTTGGCCTCCAGCTTTTGAATGTTCCTCGTTTTTTTCCCAGCCCTGCTATCTTAAAGAGGCAAATGGCAGGGCCATCTTCTCTGAAACCCCTTGCTCCCTAGTTGGAGGCCAGTTCACTGAGTGTCTCGGTGCCTTCTGACCATTCCCCTGCCTCCCGGGAAGGCTGTGCGTCCCCCCGACCTTCACCTTTTCTGGGAACCGGCTCCATGACCAGGACTGCTGACTGGATGTAGGTGGCTTGCCAGTGTTCTGTCTTCCTGTTGGTTCCCCATCTCAGCGACCCTGGTGGGCATCTGTCTTTCTGCTTCTTGGATGGATCGGTGGGAAGGGGACTTATTCTGTGCCTTCTGCTGCTTTCACCTTGACTCCGTTTCTAAGGACCTGCTTTGGCAGTGCCCAGCGATGGGCTCCTGTCTCTGCAGTGGTGATGTAGACACCACGATGCTTGTGTAGGACTGGCCACATAGACCTAGGTCTGTGCCCTTGGAAGGAAGAAGGAGAGGATAGAACAACTATTTTTCAGGTACGTTCTCACGAGTATGAAAGGGATGAGAACAGAATGATATTTTGCTTGAGCCCCTTTTATGTAATTTTATGCCCTAAGCAATCATGGGTAAGGAAGATTAGGAAATGAGTATTCGGCTATGTGATCAGATGACCTTGATGGTCATGATAGCAGGCCCTGTTGGATGGACTTAACCAGGTCCCATTTAAAGAAGACCTTGGCTGACGACTGCCAAACTTACCAAGTTTCCTAGGGTTCATCTTTTCTGTGCGGCCCCAATTTAAATGTTTATCTTTTTTCATGCATGGAGGGAGTGTTTAGGGCATTTTGCCTGCATTGGAGTGGTTGGATCACGTTTCTTAGTGGCTTAATTCTGGGGAACTCTGATTATCAGTAACCAGTAAACTCAGCAATTAGGCTTTGTCTTGCGTCTGTTTCCCGGCACGCAGTGATCTATACTCTTCGCTAACTTAGGTTTAACTTTCAGAGCATTGAGAAGCCCTATGATCAATGGAGCAGGATTTTACAACTTCTAAAGCAGAGCTTTAGGAGATTATAGCGCTGGGGTCAAAGATGATCTGAACTGGGTAGACCTTGCTTTCCAGTTGGGGAAAATGAAACCTAGAGGGGCAGAGCCATCTGCCTGATATCACACAGTGATAGGGCGATGATAGAAACTCATTATATAAATCAAGACACTTCTCAGGGTGAAAGGGGCTCTCTAAGTAAGAGTGATGTTGGGACCACAGGTGGTATGGTGTTCCTACAGAGTAAAACAGGCTCCTGATTCCTTTCCTGTTTTGCGGGAGGGGGCGGGAGCAGGTAACAGCTTTATTGAGATACAATTCACATACAATACAGTGTACCCATTCAGAGCATACCGCTCTATGGTTCTTAGTAAATTCACAGAATCAGCACATTCAATTTTAGGACATTTTTCTCACCCCCAAAAGAAACCCTGTTTCTTTTAGTGATCACCCTCCCACTTTCCCCCCAGCTCCCCTTGTTTTAGGCAACCACAAGTCTCCTTTCCATGTAGATTTACTTATTCTGGACATTTCATGGATATGGAATTACAGTGAGTGGCCTTTTGTTACTGGCTTTTTTTTTTTTTTTTTTCTCTCTCGCGTAATGTTTTCTGGGGCATCTGTGTTGAACATGTATTCATACTTCAGTCAGTTCTATAGTTGAGTAGTATTTCATTCTCTGGATAGATGTGTCACAGTTTGTTTATCCATTCATTAGCCGATCGATACGCGAGTTTCTACTTTTCGGCTGTTTCGAATGATGCTGCTATGAACATATTTGTACAGGTTTTTGCATACATAATGTTTTCATTTCATTTGGGTATATACCTAGAATGTATACCCTACATACATCTTTCGCCAGGGCGTATACCCTGGCGTTGCTGGGTCCTACGGAACTCTATGTTTAACTTTTTGAGAAACTTCCAGATTGTTTTCCAAAGCAGTGGCACCATTTTAGCCTCCCACCAGCAGTGTAGGAGGGCTCGTTTTTCAACATCCTCACCAACACTTGCTGCTTTTTGATTAGAACATTCTCTAATGGGTGTCAAGTGGTATCTCACTGTGGTTTTGATTTGCATTTCCCCAGTGACTACTGACGTTGACCATCTTTTCATGTGCTTATTGGCCATTTCTATGTCTTCTTTGGAGAAATACCTGTTTAGATCCTTTGCCCATTTCTATTTGGGTCACTGGTCTTTTTTTATTGCTGAGTTGCATCAGTTCTTTGTATATTCTAGATACAGGTCCTTTGTCAGCTCTGTGATCTGTAAAACTTTTCTCCCATTCTGTGGATTGTCTTCACCTTCTTATGATGTCCTTCACAGCACAAAAGTTTTTAATTTCGATGATGTCCAAGATCCCCTACTTTCCTTGCTTGTGCTTTTTGTGCCCTATCTGAAAAACCATGGTGTAATCCAAGTTCAAGAAAATGTGTGCCTGTGTTTCTTTTTAAGAATTTTCATAGTTTGAGCTCAGTAGTGGCCTTTGATTCATTTGAAGTTAATTTCTGTACATGGTGTGAGTAGGGGTCCAGCATCACTCTTTTGCCTGTGGGCACCCAGTTGTTCCAGCACGAGTGGTTGACCTCCTCTCCCGTCCCCAGCCCATGTCTGGCTCCACCATTTTTATAACGGGCTTTCTGTTCTCTGAGTGTCTCACCCTTACTCCCCCTTAACCTCAACAGGACAGGGTCATATTGTGCTCTGATAACTCGGTGGCCTCTCATGGTGCATGTTCTAACTCCACACATTAGTCCTAGGGGAAAGTCAGGACCAGTCATTTCCTTTTTTGAGGACAGTGAGCCACAAGGAAGTAGAATAATTTGCCCAAGGTCACAAGAGTCAGGACTAGACCTTTGGTCTTCTGACTTCCAGCCTTCCAAGGGGTCTGTCAGTCACTAGACCTAAGTGATGCCACTCCCTAGGCCAAGCGATGACAGCCTCGATTTTAATTATTAATTGTGGCAGACTCCTTTTTATTTAGTTCCAAATGGGGGTCTGATAAAGATCTGTTACCTTAAGTTTGCTGTTAGTGGAATCTTCCATTTTCTGGAACCCCCCACTGCTGTCTGTGTTTGTTTGTTTTTAACCTTCTCCTTTTTTTAAAGATTTTATTTTTAAGTAATCTCTACACCCAACGTGGGGCTCGAACTCATGACCCCGAGACCAAGGCCCCACCACCTGAGCCATCCAGACGCCCCTTTCACCTTCTCCCTGTGGTTCTAGTGGAGTCTTGTAGCTTGCAAAGAAGTAGGAAATAAATACGCTTCTTAATTTGGCACTAAAATGTTTCAGCTGCTTGGTTTCGACAGCTTGTCCCCCTTCCTCAGAACTCCGATGAGCTAGCTGTCCATTTTATTTTTTTCATTTCAAAGCAGAGAAGCCATAGCTTCCCACTTCTGTCCACTCTCTTTCCCAAGGGCTCTGAGGCCAGGACCTTGGCCTGGGGGGTGGGGCAGCCCCTCCC